TCCTATTCAAACCACCTTCCCCTGATTTTTCTTTTGTATTTTATTTCAGCAAAGTTTATATAGCTCCGATTTTCACATACCCTTTTCATGTGATTTCTAGTATCACAGATTTGTGATGTATTACGCGAGAGGAAGAATCACGAAAAACACGCTTTGTTCGCTACTTTCGTTCTTCTCATGGCATAATCAACCTCTTGGGAGGATACAAAGGCCTATATATGTTAAAGGAACTTCAGAAGTATCTGAAGTACGCGGTCTGGGAAGCGAAACTAGCATTTGCGCGCACAGTTCTTTGTCCACCGGTATCCCCCCCAATCACTTGCCATCACATAAGCAAAAGTTGCTGGGTCGTTCGATTACCGGTTATCTGACCGACTGGCCTCATAAACCCCGCGGCTTATTTCCAATAAACAAAATAAGTCCTTGTATCTACGAAATTCTTTCTACATAGGAGCTTTTAACGTCCACACTGTCAAACTGGCAAACAATAAATGCTCGCTGAAACCTTATACTCCCTTAAAATTAGAGGCATAGAGGTCGACTGCTGGACCCACAAAGTTGTGTCCGAAATAAACTCGTGTGACCTCTGAACTTGAGCTGACCTGCGGAAAATCCAGTCCCACAAACTTGCCTGACATTGACGTTACCCACTTGATTCCGTGACCTTTTGACCCGTGTAACTCCTATTCAAACCACCTTCCCCTGATTTTTCTTTTGTATTTTATTTCAGCAAAGTTTATATAGCTCCGATTTTCACATACCCTTTTCATGTGATTTCTAGTATCACAGATTTGTGATGTATTACGCGAGAGGAAGAATCACGAAAAACACGCTTTGTTCGCTACTTTCGTTCTTCTCATGGCATAATCAACCTCTTGGGAGGATACAAAGGCCTATATATGTTAAAGGAACTTCAGAAGTATCTGAAGTACGCGGTCTGGGAAGCGAAACTAGCATTTGCGCGCACAGTTCTTTGTCCACCGGTATCCCCCCCAATCACTTGCCATCACATAAGCAAAAGTTGCTGGGTCGTTCGATTACCGGTTATCTGACCGACTGGCCTCATAAACCCCGCGGCTTATTTCCAATAAACAAAATAAGTCCTTGTATCTACGAAATTCTTTCTACATAGGAGCTTTTAACGTCCACACTGTCAAACTGGCAAACAATAAATGCTCGCTGAAACCTTATACTCCCTTAAAATTGATGCATGTGGCGTCTCCGAAACACGCGTACACGGCCCGAACGTGGCTATGCATCTCAAAACGTCAAGGGTGAACTCAGAACTTTCACATTTATCCGTACGCGTGTCCGTGACCCAGAGCCGATGATTCGTGGAAAATATGGCGTGGGAGTTGCACTCAGCCGCAGAGCTGGACGCGCTTAGCTGGATTGGATCCCCCAGAGCAGTCGTCTTTGCGTCGCCCAGTTATCTAGCCCAATCAACCTCAATACCTATGGACATAAGCGGTGCCTGTTTGCAGTGTCGGCTTATGCCCAACGAACTGCACTTATGATACCCAGAAGGATACTTTCTATCGAGAGTTATCCGGGCTTATTCGTTAAGAAAGAAGCACTGACACATTGCAATCTCAATGAAAGCCCAAGTCGGTCATCTAACCTCCTTGTAATCATATCTGGGCGGTCGACTCGGAGTTGATGCTTGTCGCGCAGCGACTCCTCCAATTGAGTGCCCCTCATCAACTGTTTCGGTCCAGTACGAACGTTCAGCATGAACGTTCGCATTGCGTAGCCTGGCGGCCACCAAATGCAAATCAAATGTGGACCCAGCTGGATCACATAGCCATCAGCCGCCGTTGGAGAGACTGTCGTTCCTTCTGGAGCACATAACTTGACACCTATCACGCCATGGTGCGTACACACCTGACAATTCGCTTTCCCTCAGGCCCTCACGAGTCAGCAAGAAGCATGCCAATCCACCATTTTCGAAGAACAACCACAGCTCAACAGTATGGATCTGAGCTAGCTCAGCAAACCTACAGTAAACGAACACCATACTGGTAGCGAGAACGTGTACAAAGCATGGGAAAATGTGAAAGGAGCTACGCTAGCGGCGTTCAGTGCTGTCTATCCGACTACTCCGATATAATCGAATGACCACTGGATTTCGTCGAGATCGCTAGTGCTGACTGATGCCAGGAAATCCATACCAACAGGCAACGAGTACGACAGGGTACGCAAATTACTCAAATGTCAATTAGTGAAGAGCCTAAGGAAGGAGCGGTAGCTCTGGTGGACAACGAAAGCTCGGGGGAGATGGGGAAGGCTTTTGTCACCGGAAGCAGCAGCGTCTTATATCAGCTGATACGATCGACTGATCCTAGGAAAGTAATGGTCCGTGAAACGATAGCTGAAAAAGGCGGTTCATTAATACGCTCGGAAAAACGTCCACCGTAAAGGCGGACCGAACACTTTGAAAACCAGTTTAGCTGGACTCCTGCAACACAGCCTCTGGAGATATTGCATACGGACAAATGGAATGTAAACCTTAATCACTTATCAAAAGAAGAAATAAGGAACGAAGTAGCCGTACTGAAACATCAGAAGGCACCAGGAACACACTAATTGTATCCACCCCTCTTCAGAGAAGGAGGAGAACTCCTGATGACCCATCTAACAAAGCTTGTTGGTTCCAGATGGAACGAAGAAAAGGTTCCTGCAGAATGGGGCAGTTACCCTCATCTTCAAAAATGGTACGCGGACGCTAGATGAAAACCACAGTGGCATCAGCATGGTAGCAATGGAATCGAAGGTGCTCCATTTAAGGTTGACTGAACTCAGGGGGGGCAGACCCGTGAAAACCTAAGTCCCGTCATGAAAAAGTGTACATCGATCACATTTCCACCCTCCGTCAGATTCTGCTTCCAGCAACCAACAATGGTTGTTTTTCTTTAACCCTACAGACCGTCAGGCATTATGCAAAGACATTCCCCATAAATTCCTGGCCCCTTCTTAAGGCGTTGTACGTCAACTCCTCCCTACGGTGAAGCACGACGGGAAGCTCTCACCTGAGTCCTCGACATTAAATGGTGTCAAGCAAGACTGTCCCCTTTCACTTCTCCTCTCAACTTCGTCATTCATACGAGTACGGAAAATGCACTACAAGCTTCTGATACGTGCAGGGTCGAAGTGCTCCCGGGATGTCCACTCACGGATATCGAATACGCAGAAGATATAGCCCTTCTTGGATCTGACATCGCGGTAATGCAAACAATATTAAACAATATTAACATTTTTTAATATTAAATAATTCTCCCTCACGGTTTGACATGCACTTCAGACTTGCAAAGTGCAAGGCGCTACTGCAAGAGTGGGTCGGCTCGAATTCTAACCTCGTGCTTGCGGATGAGCCAATTGAGGTAGCAGACAGCGCTTTCAGTACCGGTGGTCTCGCGAAGTATGATATTTCCACCTGGACTGGGAAGACAAGAGGAGCTTTCGGAAATCTGTGCCACCTGTGGCGTCGGTGGGACATCCGCTTATCTGTCAAGGGTCGAGTTTGCAATGCTGCAATGTGATCCATTTTATTACACAGGTCAGAATTCTGGCAGCGGCGCAATGGGGACGTCAAAAGACCCATTATTTGACCATCGATGTCTTCCGAGCATTACCCGAGTCTGGTGGGAAAACCGGACCAGTAATGCTGAAGTACGTCGAATGTTTTTCGGAAGAAAAAACACCCATGAGAGATGAACTGATCACACGGCATAGGTTGCGCCGGCTTGGCCACGAGAGCTGTATGTCAGTCGACCGACTTCCTTGAAGGGTTCTTTTCGCACAACCACTTGAAGGGTGGAAACGTGCCAGAGGTCAAACAATGACTTGGCAGCGAAATTTGAATGACCAGCTGCGCTGGTCATTGCCGTCTCCCTGGATGGGGTCCGTGAGACAGAATATATCACTGCTTAGAGACATTGTCAGACATGGCGCATTCGCGCCCCCAATGGTGCTCGAACATCTAAGGTATGACCTCCAACGCATAGTTCCCCACTTAAAAGTCCACTGAAAACCCCGTACTTACGCATCAGTTGTACCAGCAACCAGTGCCACTGCATAGCTACCTAACCCGCCTCTCCGAATCATTGGCGAACAAAACTGCGATAGATAGAACCACTGTATCGCAAGCACGCGTTTTGTACAGATAATGATGATGATGAACTCCTTAGAAGGCTTAGAAATTCTGTCGATACAACATACATGGCCGTTAATCTGAGCTCACGCTGCAATTCCAGCCCCATCATCAGGTTTCGTCTGAAGGACAAATTACCACGTTCTACCACCAATTTCTGTGTGTAAACATGTGTCCTCATCCCCAGCGTCAGACGTTGGTCGTACGACAAGGCGGTTGTCGGACAGAATGCGAGAACACAATCCCATATCTCTGAGTAGTGGCCGGAAGTGCAATCGCATCACATTTGGCCAAAACTAGTCATCGTATCGACAAAGGATACGCCTTCCATATCATATACCGGGTGTCCCTGAACCCATCACGGTTCACACAATCCAGACTACTATCGATCGTAGAGGCATAGAGGTCGACTGCTGGACCCACAAAGTTGTGTCCGAAATAAACTCGTGTGACCTCTGAACTTGAGCTGACCTGCGGAAAATCCAGTCCCACAAACTTGCCTGACATTGACGTTACCCACTTGATTCCGTGACCTTCTGACCCGTGTAACTCCTATTCAAACCACCTTCCCCTGATTTTTCTTTTGTATTTTATTTCAGCAAAGTTTATATAGCCCCGATTTTCACATACTCTTCATGTGATTTCTAGTGCCACACTAACTGAGCAGAACAATCACAGCAAACAAGCTTTGTTCGACGTGGCAGTTTCTCAGTCCTCGTACTTCCTTCAATCGGCATGGCAGCGGGTACCAGAAGTATTTTACAAACGAACGAGTATTACCAGTATTCTTATATTCTTGTTATTATTATTTAGGTAAAAATTTACGGGAGCCTAAGTGCGATCGACTCACTTCATTTGATTTTTGGTGCAAAAGTGAGGTGGCACCTTCTTTGGCAGGTGAGCGCTCTTCGGAGGCTGGTCGACGCCGCAATCGACTCCGCTGAGGCAGTCCAACATCTTCTCTGTGGTACTTGGAAAGATGCCGTAACAAAGTCAGCTCCGCTTGATATCTACGACCACACCGAGGATGGGGACACTGAAAAGAGAATCGGGCGTGCAAGTTCACAGCTGTAACCCATATGCCAGTAACAATGTCGAAGCTTTCAAAACAGAGCGGAGATTCAGTGCAATCCATAATAAAGCATATCGGAATGGAGGGGCAAACACATCTTATGCCTGTGGGGATTCCTTCGCTGTAAAGAAGCATGACATAATCTGGAGACATTATTTTACTTTGAATTACTGACTGGGGGGTTTCCATACCTTCCACAGCTTTGATCGCAGCCAGGATCAGATTCACAGTTCACAGTCCCAGCAATATAAGGCGAATCACCAAACCAATTTGGTTTTAACGGGAGGCTCAACTGATGTTCATTGAATGAATGTGTTGCACAAAGGCCACCTCATAATTCGAACGATATTCGATATATCACAATGCATTGTATGGATCAAACCAATTAATTGTAAGGTTGCCAAATTGCGTAAAATTTGAGTCCAGGTGGGTTACGGTTGACGGAAACTCGAGGACCGCACCGGCGAAACCGGTCGTGGGCTGCTCAAGACTTTAAGCAACCTTATAAGTGGTATCTCATTTAGATGGTGATGCAGGCTTTAATTTGCTAGCTGTACAAGCAGCAATGTTTGAACATTTCACAGAGTAAAATGAAAACATTTAAGATGCCGCTCACATGAATAGAAAGTGAAGGTGAGTCGGCCAAGAAACAGAACAGCCACAAATACCGGAACCAAAAATAACAGTTGACTGAAATGCATAAATAGCTGGTGCTTAGATGAGCATCCCAGCTTTTTGACGCCAAACAGGAACTAGATCAGAGATAATACTAAGTTTCCAAATATCGTCGTCAACACTGGTGTTGAACACCAGTGCTTTACCATCACACATTGAACAATTGAGCGATCGGTGACCGTTCGATTGAAACTGGGCTCCTACTGAAAATTTTCAGTTTTAGAAAGTGTGTAAGCACCACCATCAGCCCTGTAAAACATGGCACTAATCGGGAAGCAGTCTTTTGTCCTTACTAAATGTATAAGACGAATTAAAGAACATACACGCTGGAGGCTCGAAACGATTGCGAAAAAATACCTTATTGCCAACAAGCAGTTGACATCTAGGTGAACATTATCGTACAACTGGCGTGAGGTGACCATCTAATAAGGGATTCTGAATGAGGTTGAGCTCTAAGGGTGGTGGGATGAACGGAAGACTGGAACGACGACAGATCAGCCGCGAAAGAGGGGGTGGGGGAAATGGGGACACAAATACCCAGGAAACTCTTGTGCTATTGTTTGGAATCGAACATGCATCATACTCCATCCACGGTTACATAGGGTTTTTAGTTTGAATGACCACGCCCAGGTGCAGCGTTTTGATTGGAAACTTGAATCGTTCAGCTGTAGCACCTTTTCGGTGCTTTAACTGCCATGCAACCCGAAAGGAGCACGAGGGCTGGAATACTGCCAGGTCGCCCAAGCCTAGACAGGGGAAGTCGAGAGGCAGAGGTCGGGTTCCAACCACGGACCTTCCGGTAAGTAAGTTCGCGCCCACCGAGCTTGACAGGGTCCACATTGAGGACCACGTCAAGCGCTCTCGAGGTAACAGTGATAACTACGTTCGTTTAACCTACAGTTCAAAGACCAATCATGCGATATTTGAGTCGACATATTGTTTGTGGAACAGTGACATCTGAATCCATTCTGGTAGTCACCCCATTGGGTGATGTCTTGAACATCGCGGTAGTTTTATCAAACCTAATTTAAGAACTTTGAACAGTACGAAGATAGTGGAGATGGACCATGTTTAAAAAAGGGAGGAACATATCAATTAGTCTAGCTAAGGGTTAAGGATACAAGAAGGAGCTTGGCAATGATCCCGGTAGGCCAACCAACACATGTATGGAATAAAATTGGAGACATACCATTTAAACCAGATGATTAGGAAATGTTAGGTTCAGTAGAACGGCCAGTGCCACTCAGGGTAGCAACTAACGATTCACAGGGGCTGTTATAACTGGTACGGATTTAGATAGAGGAAATGAGGACAAAAAGTCAAAGAAAAGTTTTTGCGTTCCCCAACAAAGGTACCAAATGAGTACTAAGAGTATCAAATGAGTTTTGACTGATTCATCTGGCCGAACTTCAGGATTGAATTCTGGTTGATCCTCCCCATTTAGCTGCTTTTCGCTCCACGAATATACCTTCAACTACGTAGATGCAGGTCACGTAGTCTGCACGTATCAAAGAACAGGGGATCACAGCATCCTTAAAATATGCCTCACTTCTTTACCTTCCGCGGGCATGAACCGCCAAACCGCTCGAAAGGAAACAACTCCCTTGATTTGAAAGAAGAGGGACTGAATTCGCTTAAGACATCGGAGAAGACATTTGTAAGCGAAAATGAAGGTTCTTTTTGCAAAAGTCAATACTCTCATGAGTAATTACGGAAGACTGGTGTAAAAAAATCCTAGTAAGCAGAAGTGTATCACCGGAGTAGAGGACGAGGGACGGGAAGTAGGTTTCGAAAAAGAAAGATAATATGAAAGACTAGTGAGATAATGATCTAACAGGTCAGGAGGGACAGAGCCCATAACAGCGCAGCATCGCCATTTTGGTCGGAATCCAGACAAGCTGACTCAGAGGGTTAATGAGTTCAAGATCAGAGGTACAGGGTTCAGGGCAGAAAGCCGTTAGATAGAAAAGGAAGAATGTGTAGGCTCACAGTTCGTCCTGGGAACAGAAACAACATAAAAACATGTAGCTGTGAAAATGTAGGTGGGTAAGATCACAAGAACTGAGGACTTGTGTCTTGGTGGAGAACGATGACAGACGACACGAATTGGCCGAGTTGATGTTGCCGTTCAATTCGCGGATGTTATAGGGAGGTTTTGAAATCATATTGGAGAGTAAGATGAAATATCCCTGCAGTTCGCATTTCATGCTTGTTTGACGAGTGAAAGACCGGCATCCCAACTCACAGGTTTGACCTGGAGAGCCAAGTAACGTATTTGAAAGTTGGTCGATGAAGCAGGAGTACAGACTATGGAGCAGGCCGTCGATCAACTGTTTATCACAGAACAGCTCCACAACAAGCAGTCTCGCCCTCATAATAAAGGAGCGACCACATATATGCTACCACAGGTACAATGCAAGGGTAGCTAGGGTCACTTTCTGATGAATAAGTCACAAAGAAGCCAAAGAGAAAGCCTTCTAAACTCACACGACTACTGCACGACCAAGGATATGCACTGGATATATATATATATATATATATATATCGACCTAATGCTACGCTAAGTGGGTTTAACCTTGTCAGAAAGTCGATAGAGTGAACAGATGAAGAGTAACGGGCCCTTAAAGTACGAGTTGCACTGTCCACTGCGGCAGGAGTGGGAATAGTATGCTAGCACCACTACGCTTCCTAAGTACGCACTGATGATGTCACTTCGATCGATGACGAAACTTCCACAATCAAATTTCCCCGCTCAGCGAACAAACCAACGACCTTAGTTTTCTCCAGGCGATAAGAATTTCCATATTTATGTAGGCAGCGATCCTGTACTCTCCTAACGAAAGACGAATTGGGAAAGGTTGACCAAACGGTCGACTGTGACTACCGGCGCATTAATTAATACGGTCAAGATGCCCCCGAAAACCAAAGGAGTCAAAACGCTTCCGCTGTGCATAACGGCATTAGGAAAGACAGTCATGCCTTGCTTCCTGCGTCCCTAGGCTGTCAGCTCCCCAAAATCGATACTGTCATTCGATTCTAACGGATTCCCCCCAAGAGAACCCTACTACTAGTCCTTTTGCTGGTCAACCCATGGCGTTGAAAGCTAGGTGTACTACTGAGAAACGATTCAAACATATACCCTAGGAAAACTTCTTACCTTGGACCAAGCAACTGGGAACTATTATGTGCCTTCACAGTACTTTGTTGACTTCTTCCCCATCCCGCATGCAACCCATGCCGAATCATTTCATTAGCAGTTGCCTGATCAATATGCCCTATCCGATCAGCTTCCCATTAACTTAAAGAAAAATAAAACTAATGGATTAACGAGATCCTTTCTACATAGGTGCACTAGGCGTCTCTACTGTATCAAATTGGTAAACGGGAAATACCCACGAAAACCCCATACTCTCAAAGCCGACTGTGTTGGGCCTCAGAAACATGCATCTAAAAGCAGCCGGAGGGAATCTCTAGGCATAGACCAATGAATTTTTCATCCTTGTGGATATGAATGCCCGACCTGGTCCCTGGTCCGCGTGCTACCAAATCTAGGTGATCAATTTAACGTCGATGCTCACCGGACGAACATGGAGAAGCCCTAGTTGTGCGTCAACTGGCACGAGTCTTGAACACAAACGCTGATCTCAAGCACAAATTGACCGTGGGCCCAATCGGACCACGCGTCGTTAGCCACCGTTGAAGAGTCGCGATTCACGAATGCGGCTTCTTTTGGGTCACAAAACTGGATCCAGAACAGGCCACACTGGCAGCATGCCTGCTTCAGGTCCTCGCAAGTCGGAAGAAGTAAGTCACCCCATCGCCTTCGGAGAACTACCATAGATCAGTCTGAACTGGGTTAGCTACTCTCTGCAACGAACAGACACATTACTAGCAAAGAGCACATAAAGCACAACAGAACTCAAAACGAGCTATGCTAACGCCATTCAGAAGTGTCTGTCCGACTTCCCTAATACGAGTAAACAACCACTAGATATTATCGGGATCATCAATCTTGATTGATGCTAGAATACCTGTACCAGCAGGCAACGAGCATAACAGAACACGAAAATCCATGGAACACCAAATAGTGAAAAATTCTGATGAAAGAACTCTGGGGTGGGTAAAATTTTAGACGGAGAAAGAATTCGTCACGGGTAGACATCTGTGCCTGATATCATCCATTACACTCGACTGACCAAAGGAAAGCAATCATCAGTGCGACAATCGGTGAAAAAGACGGTTCAACAATTTATTCACAAAACAGCCGATCATCACCATCATCATCAGGGAAAGCAACATCAGTGTTGACACTGATCCTTCACTGCCGTAAACCGCCAATCGGAAAGATTGGTCAGACACTTTGAAGGACAATTTAGCTGACCTACAACACAAGGCCTGGAGACAGCGCACACGGGTGAATGGAATATAAATCCTATCTGCTTGTCCTGAGGAATAAAGTGCAAAGTACCCCTATGAATTGCGAGAAGGTACAAGTCCTGACGGTTTGCATCCAGGCCTTCTCTAAGAGGACCGTGAGCACCTGGTAACAAACCTGAAACACTTGTTTCTATATTGAGTGAAAGGGTGCCCGCAGAACGGGGCGAGAACACGAACACTGTGAGAAACCTCGTGGCATTATTCTAGTAACGGTGGCATTCAATATGTCCTATGGTCTTCATCGAAAGTTGACTGAACGCAAAGGGATCCGTGAGAACTAAGCTCACTCTCATTTTGAAATGAATGCATATATTATACGTTCAATCCTACAGATTTCGGAACGGCGACAATGCTCACATTAACCAACAATGGCAATCTTTCTTGACCTAAAACTGTGTTTGGTTCTGCTGCTTGTTGGCACCATGGCAGTCTGCGGAACAAAGGTGTCCCCTTCCTTAGAGCACTGTACGCCAAATCCCAGGTATTTGTGAATATCCTCGGTGAGTTCACTACATTCAGTGGTGTCAGGCAATATTGTATCTTATAATGTTTCCAATTCCGCCGTCGATATAACTGTGGAAGACTCACTTCTCAACTCCATCTTCTGCAGAGTCGAAATGCTCCAAGGCTACTCGCTCGCAAGTATCTAGTACACACACGACATAGCTTTCCCTGAATTTGACCCCAGTGAAACCCCAATAAATGACCCGAATAATTCAGCCTCCTCGTTTATCATGTGTTTCACACATGAAAACATGTTGTAATCGAAAAAGAATCCCATGCTTGTGTTTCATATCATTGAGAAAGTAGACACATTTGTCTATCTAGATCTATTTGAGGCGTTGTTGCCTTCCGGGTAAGATCTGCTGCAGAGCCATCAGCATCACCTGTGGCTCAGACAAGAACATTGTTTATCTGTCAAGGGTCGAGGTAAGAATGCTGCGGTGCACTTTATGTTGTCATATGAATCAGAAACCCGATAGAAACGAATTGAAGACGTTGGAAAAACTCTTTTTGACCGTCTCTGTTTCCGGACCATTGCCTGAGTCTGATGGGAACACCGAATCAGTAATCCTGAGGCAGACCGAATGGCTTACGAAGGAGAAAACTCACACATTTGAACTGGTCACACAACACACATCGGGTTGCCCTGAATAGGTCTGGAACAGCCCTGTTTGCACTGCCATGTGGAGGGTAAAGACGAGTCAGGGGAGTCAAGCAATGACTGGACAGCAAAGTGTGAGATCCAAAACTAGGGAACTTAGCTGAGCTGGTCATTGTCGGCTATCTAGATGTGAACCCCGAGAATGGGCACATTAATACCGGGAGATATTGAAGGTATTGGAAACGTTAGATGAATTCGGCCTCAAGAACAACCGAGTACGTTGGCCGGAAACTTTGCGCTGTATAGAGGGCAGGGAAGACTTCACGGGTCTACAGCGAATGAAAGTAACTCACCAAGAAAGACTGGACCTGTGAGTCAACGTCGGAAACGCAATATCATTTACCACTGTTAAAAACACAGTGATTACGAAGACTTCTTATATCTACGGTGCGGTTGTGCTACGTACGAGAGTGACCCTCAGAAAAAGCCGCGCTTTTGACGGTGTTGAAAATAATGACTGCCATAACTGAATATATAGCTGTATTGTCTGCTTCCTAAGTTATCTTTCTTTGAAGAAAGGCAACGTTACTTGTTTTATACATTTGGAAGTGTTGGTTACGGAGTAAACAGCAGTTCTCGAAATCCCAACAAAGGAAACAGCACGAATTCGTCCCCAGCCATCCGGTCATACGAACTAGAAAACACCAAAACTGACTACTCACTTTCTGCTCTTCATTGGCTTTCTCGACTGAGTTAACACCATGGGAGAAATAATAAAACAAAATTGTTTTCTGATCACGTCAGCGTTTTGATGCGACTAGAAGGATAAAGCTTGCAAGTAAAGCGAAGTGTTTCCGACAATAGGTCCAACGAGATTTCTTGGGGACCAAGGCTCCAGACTACTGCCCGAAAGGTCCGTGATTCGAATCCGACCCTGTTTTCTCGATTGCTTCAATTAGGCAGTATTTCAACCACTTACTGAAGAGCTTCCAGAAACCTTATAGACGATGCACCACATCAAAAAAATATACATCGATACATCAAATATTGCACAAACTGAAACAAGAGGTGACGTGTGTGCATCTCGACTGTTCCTATCAAAACTTGGGCAAACTGTCAGTAGTCCAAACAACATGCTTTTTCCGGATGGCATAGCAGCTAGACGCCGAAAGGGTGTTTATTATTTTATTTTATTATGATTAATATGACTATTATGATTATGATTATTATGATTATTTCTTATCCTTGTTTGTGTGCAACACATCCAGCTGAAGCATATCACAAATGAGGGATTTAGTTGAGTCCCCTGTTAACACCAACTTAAGTTGCATATGAGTGTATATCACCACTTTCGCTGGCAATGAATATTGTAATAAGAAAGAACCCATCTGTAGCACTCAAATGCTAATGAGAGAAAACTCACAGCATATTTAAAACGGACATCTGCAGCACTTGGCGGACACTGTAACTGCTTCGTAGAATCGGTGTGCTCAGAAGTTGTGGTTAATTGGATCGGTGACGGGGGAACCTGGAAAACAGAAAACAAAATAGCCATGAGGAAACAGCACACAAACACGGGTACTGGATTGTGAAGAGACAGATGACGTATGCCTAATAATGATATTGCGCTCCGTCTATCCAAGGACTATCCTACAACGATCCCGCGCACACGAGTAAGATTATGCGTTCGTACGTAGCTCTCGTGAGGCACTGCGAAATACGACTAGTGCTTTGAAACGACCGAATTCGCTCCCATTTAAGTAGAGGGCGTGAATTAATGGTATGATAAAGAATACCGGATTCCAATGGCTACATTTCACAAACGAAACCTGTCAAAATTAGACACCAATTTTATCAATGTGTATTTATCTAGACATTCTATAACCTTACGTGTCGCCAGCGGATACATCCAAAAAACAAAGATTTTTGGAAGGAACTGCCGAATTTAGAAGCAAACGCATTACTTGAAGTTTGTTAGATCAGGCAACGCAGCCAAGCAAGCAAGTGACCCCGTTAATCATTTAACCCGAACGCTGGAGTCAACGCAGTTCATGTAGTCAGTTAGGCATCATCTTCAACACAAGTTCCGGCTTTAAACTATCAACCCCTTGTTCCAACCTTTGCGTTCAAAAACTTCTCAAGCAACAGGCACCACAACTAGCGGGCTAGTGTCCGAGTGAATTTAAAAAAACAGGTTCGGTGTGACAAAAGCCCTATGCGCGCCATCATGGTTCAAGTGGTTAGAGCGCGAATTTACTGACCGGAAGGTCCGTGGTTCGAACCCGACCTCCGCCACTCGACTTCCCCTGTCTAGGCTTGGGCAACCTGACAGTATCCCAGCCCTCGTGCTTCCTTCGGGTGGCATGGCAGCTAGACACTGAAAGGGCGCTACAGCTGAACGACTTATTTATTTTATTTTTATGGTTCACATTCCGTTGTAAGACAAAAGCGCTTAACTTTGACACCGTCTCGGCATATAGCCATCGTCCTAATAAGAGCAATAAATAAATAAGGCAATGGATGAGAGCGATAAAAAGGTCAGGGATGGTGTCAGTCAGCTCACAAATTCAGCACCGGAGAGCCTTGAGCCGCGACCACCATTTTGTGCATAGCTAGGGTGCCGTGGGGGGGGGAATGTTGCGGAATATATGTAGATCGGGTGTGTTGCTTGGTTGTTGAGCCTGTTTGCCAAACTTGGTAATTGGATTGCAAACGTTTCATCGCTAGCCAAGGTGACGAGCCAAGGGGGCCAGATGGCCCAATTGGTTAGAGCGCGACTTTACTGACCGGAAGGTCCGTGGTTCGAATCCGACCTCCGCCACTCGACTTCCCTGTCTAGGCTTGGGCAACCTGGCAGTATCCCAGCCCTCGTGCTTCCTTCGGGTGGCATGGCAGCTAGGCACCGGAAGGGTGCTACAGCTGAACG